GGGTGCCCCGCTTTTATAGGGGTGCCAGGGCAGACATCACAATGTCTCCATGGTGTCGCCCAGCAGTGCTGTCTCCATGGCTGCCAGCCCCAGTCCTGTGCAGGCTGTCTTCATATCCTGGGTAACCAGGTCTCCTGTTTCCTTCTGGAGAGGGCCCATATTTTCCCTAATCTTCGTCACCAACATAACTATAGAAGCTTTCGTTGCTGCCCTCGGTGTCCCTGACCCGATTTAATTCCATCAGGGCTTTAGCTTTACTAACCTGATCCCTGGCTGCTCACACAACTGCTTGGCATTCTTGCCCAACTTCCTCTTTGTTGGGATGCACTGCTCCTCAACTTGTAAGAGGTGATCCTTAAATATGAACCAGTTTTCTTGGGTCCCTCTTCCTTTGAAAGCTTTATCCAATGGTATTCCAACAAGCAGGTCCCTGAAGAGGCCAAAGTCTGCTGTCCTGAGGTCCAGGATAGTGAACTTCCTGGGTGCCCTCCTTGCGGCTCTAGGGATCTTGAACCACACAATCTCATGGCCACTGCTGCCAAGGCCGCCCTTGAGCTTCACATTCCCCACCATCTCCTCCTTGCTGGTGAGAACAAGATCTAGCATAGCATCTCTCCTTCTTGGTTCCTCTATCACTTGGAGAACTAAGTTATCATGAACACATCTCAGAAACCTCCTGGATTGCTTATACCCTGCTGTGCTGTCCCTCCAACAGATGTCAGGGTGGTTGATCAAGGCTTGTGAATGTGAGGCTACTCCTATCTGTCTGCTGAGAACTTCATCCACTCTCTGTTAGATGGCTTGTAGCAGACCCCTAGTAGCATGGGGGTTCTGTCCCTGCCCTCCCTTAATCCTGGCCCATACATTTTTGGTTGCTCCTTATCCATCCCAAAGCAAGGCTCCATGCGCTGCAGCTGGACACTGGTGTAGAGGGCAACACCCCCTTCTTGTTTGTTTTATAAATAACAAAAATTAATAGCAACAATAAGCAGCAGACAGGCCTATTACACCACCAAGATTTAGTGCTCCTGTCTCCAAGGAGCTTTAATGCTTGGTGTGAAGTTGCTTAGCTGGTCTGCTAATGGGCATCTTCCTAGCATCCACCCATTTATCTGAGCAGAAAGCCAACACAGTAGTTTTCAGGTAGCCACAAAGGCAGTTCTTGTTGAAGCAGATACATCTCAATATGTCCAGTTTTAGTCTAAAAGAAACCTTCTCATACAGATACCTGTATCTGCCATACAGCTTGTATTTGGAGTGAGATTGCGCCCATGCCCACCAGTACTAAATTCTATCACTTCAAACAAATTATCTTTCACAGTTCAAAAAGACACTCAGACCCTGCTATTCCCACTGATGACACAGCTCCCACTTGAATAGGTGCTAAGTATTGCTTATCATTCCTGCGTATTGTCACTATAAACTAGAGTTTCTCATTGCTCTGCGTGAGTTCTAGGCAGGGTTTCCAATTTAAACCAGCATTTATCAATAAATGCCTGCAGGACACAGTGCAGTGGAGTGCTATGAATAAACAATGAGAATTGCTCAGAAGTTTGGACCACTCAGTTTTAAGCTCTGTGAAGTCTCAGAAAAATCAATTGCAGTTGTGAGAACGATCACAATCCCAGAAGGAGAATACACAGCGTACCTGGGGTGTGCTTAAAGAAGCTAGAGCAATTAGCACACTGTGTGGGCTCAGGATGGGGTTTGCAAGTAATCACCACGCAGGTGTCTTGGAATTATCTTTTCCAAATGTTCACTGGAGACTGTGCACATACTGAGCTGAAAGCAAATGTGATCATTCTCAGACCAATTTGAAATGTTTAGCAAATGATACAAAAAACGACTGGATAGACTTGGAAGGCAACACTTAGCCTCATGTTTCCCTAGGAGGCCACCACTGTAACACAGCAGCATGTCAATTATTGAAGGAGATACAAGTTTTATCTGTAGCTGCTAATCCTTTATGCTGAAATGATTAACATATTTGGGAAAGGGGAAAAACAAGTATAAAAGGCCATATTGTATTGTCTACTCCAACAGATTTGTTTTCAGACTGAAGAAAGATTGCTGTTAAACAATGCAAGCTAGTCATGTTTTGTGAAAGCAGATGAGGGCTTTTTTTTTTCCTCTTTCCTTTTGTAAAACCTGGACTGCAACTCCAATCCCAAAGGGAAACCATATTAAACTGGATTCATATTTCTGCACTTCTCTGAACCTCAGAATGGCAGTTCTAGTCTTGAAGTTTTCCACCTATTCTCGGATAAGGAAGAATGCACACAGGAATCAACTACAGGCAATGGTTTGCCCATTTTTTTCTTTTCTTCCTTTTAAACAAGACTATAAGCCTTATTTCCCTCGCAAACACACTGAAGCTGTAACAATCTTATACAAATCAGTCATTATCTGAAAAAAAGCCCAAAACAAAACAGAAGGCTTTAAAATAGTATTATTTAACCCAGTGGCATAAACTGTCCCACTTTTAACCCTAATTAGTATAGTGCTTTTTAATTCTCTCACCCACTTTACTGGTTAAACTCTCTCATAAATTGTTAAGGAAGAAGCATAAGAGTTAAACATAACATTGTAGAAAGTACCAATTACTGGTATTTTAAGTACTGACAATTATATTGAATTTCACTGCACATTGTAGAGAGGTTTAAATCGATATGAACATTAACAACAAACTATTACTTACTATTTCCTTAAGCTGAACTTCTTAATCTCTAACTGTCAAAGTAGTTAAAGAGTCATAAACACTATGTAGTAATTGATCTGCCCAATGACTTTAACCAGCATCAATCTAAGAGTCTCCTTTTCCTCATTTCCTCTTCTCCCCTTCTTTCCCCACAAGCCAAGTATTCTCCATGTGAAAGCAACCTGCAAGAAAACTGAGAATGAAGGGCCAGGCCAGTGATGTACTTACTTTCAGAAAACCATGAAAACTTTCAGAAACCATGAAAAAGCCCCAATGGCAGAGAAACATAATGCCTTAAAAAGCTACTGGATAGCGCTGTTCCTACAGAAAGGCCACTCTGTGCCTTAGGGCTCCCTACCAACAAAGAGCAGGCTCTGACCATACATATCTGATGGTATATATGGTTTTTAGTCTCCTAACAATCACTAACATTTAGACAGACCTCCTCATTTAATACTCATGATTCCAAATAACATTGCATTTGAGGAAGTAAACATCCATTTATGCAGAGAAAAGCTGTACTTTACCTGTGCCGTACAAACCTAACTCCCTGCAGGTTTAATACATCTGAATCATCTTATTAATGAACAGTTTGCAAGCAGAATGACACCTCACATGCAATTCATGCAGACACATTTTAGTACTTGAATTCCACTTGGATACCAGAAGCATGGTCAAAGGACGACACATCTGGACAGGATATTTCCTCCTGTGTAGCTATTCAACACCAAGGCTGATCTTAACGTGAGTTGCATTAGCAGTTTACTTTACATACTTTCAAGCTAAAAGGTGAAACCTAATTGTTCATAGTAAGCAACAAACCCTGCAAGTAACCCAGTTACAAGTGACACAGCATTGAAAATGCACAGCCCTTTTCAGAATGCAACACAATGCCTGCAAATATAAAAGGAACAAACACGTTCAACACGGAAAACAGCAGTGTGCTACATAATCTGAGTGGGTAAATATGCACTGTTGCACAGGAGATAAGCCTATAATTTTAATAGGTCACTTTCTAAGGCAGTTGTGTTTCAGAAGTCAAAAGACTTTCTGTATTACCAGTCCTCTTGAACATCCAAGCAAACCTTTTCAAGAGCTTAGCCTGAAGCACATATGCCTTCCTTGAAGGAAGCACTTGACTTAAACAACAACAAAAAAAGAAAAGTCTTGCCCTTCTGCTGTCTGCCTTTTCTTGTCCTGGATGGCCTTAACTCAGGTACCATTCTACTATGCAATCTGCTGACATAACTTGCATTAAGAAATACAAAAATACTTGCCATGGATTTTCTGAGCTTCTGGGTCATCCACACTGATAGCAATTATCTTCCAATCTGTCTCTCCTTCATCAACAAGAGCTAAAACACCCAAGACCTTCACCTGAACAATCTCACCAGAAGAACGAATCTGAAACAGAACATAATCTCACAAAGATTTGAAAAACATAGAACATAGCTTTACCACATCTTTGACCAGAAGCTAACAGAATTGCAAGTATATGTCTATTAATATTGCTTGCCTCTCTCCCACCATTGCTACTATCCAATCCTCAATTCTCAAGTCAGCACTTAGCACAAGCTAGAAATCTTTTCTTTCTCTTCTACCCCACTTCCTCCACACCTTCTTGATCATCACCCCAAACTGCAAGTCAGAAGTATCTCATGCTCATTTTTTAACTTCTTTCTTCCACTTGACTCTCTACTTTCTCAGCTCTTGGTTTTAATGTCTCCTGCTGTTCCTTCCTCTAGACTCCAATATAAACATATAAACACACACCTCTTTCCCACAGAAATATCAGCACAACTCTCTTCTCCATTTTCTTGGGAACCTTCTTCCTACATAAAATTCCCTTTATAACTCTTTCTGGATCCTTTGACATTCAGCTTTAGATGCCTTTCCTCAAGTAAACGCACATTCACAGAGGTCACCAATTCAATTTCCCCTTATGTAAAATATCCCAAGAGATCTCTTTTAAACTCATCCATTTCATAACCCCCATCCTTGACACCATGGAGGATCACTCCAACCTTTACTGCCTCCAGATAGGTAGAATTTTCTTCCAGTGAGCTAAACCCCTTCCCTAAATCTACTAATGGTGTCTGCCACACCTCTTTTTCATCCACTCACCCCGTAACTCCTAACTTTGCAACACTGCAACAAGTTCCTGTCTTCTCTAGAGAGAAGGGAGCTACTTTTGTTTGCACCCATAAGGACTCCAGCCTACCTCCTTTGTGGGTCTGACCTTGTAATTTCATGTGCATGACTCTGCCATACTACTTCATCTTTCAGAAACCTATTCCTAGCTCCAGGACTACTGACAGGGGAAAAATAAATTTTTTCTTCCCCAAAAAATCTTAACCCCCTCCTCCTTCACCCAAAACTCACTGTCCAGGGACAGAACATCAGGGTGGTGTTCACTTATTCTATCCAGTACACGGATTGCTCCAAATCCTGCACTTTTTCTCCTTTTAAAAATCCACCATTTCCTTACCTATTCCCTCCTCAAATCCTCTATTCATACTTTTGTCATTCTCTGAGACTATTACCATCTTTTCTTGCTTTCCACCTGGCCTTCTCTTCCAAAAGTTATCAAATTATTAAATTAACCTTCATAAATTAAATTAATACTGATAAAGACAAACCTTTGAACCTATTTCACAAACATCAATAGGATCATTATCCCCACAACATCCTGTAACATTATCTTTATGGTTTGGATCTTCCCAAGTCTGTCAAAGGAAAGAGAATTATCCATTACCAGCTGATCTGCCATTTCAATTCATGCAACTACTAAACTACTAAGATTAATAAAAACAACAATAAAAACATCAGCTTTCTGAGAACAGTCTTGCTCAACAGGAAAACAAAAAAACAAACAAAGGGGCAATGGACTGACGTTGAGTAATTCATTCTCATACTCATGACAAGTAACACAAGGACTATTGAGGACACAATAATATTTACTGCATCCATGACTTAAGAGACACGCTTTATCAAACTGCAGTGATTAAGGAATCAGAGGACCCTAAATACGTACTTTTCTGGTTACTAGTAGTTGTGGGATTAAGCTAGGACATTCTACAATTACATTCTTATTATATTCTTTCAATACCATGACACAAATATGAGTTGCTTTCAAAAACATCCAGGCTTTGAGCTAACAAAGCTCCTAGACATGGATTTGTCATCACTCAATTAGCTTTTTTAAGTTTTCAGATTTATGTATTAAATATTTCTGACTACTGAGATGTGTACATTCCTAAGAACAGCCAGCAGCTTAAAACCAAATAAGCTTCTACAGGTGACAAGTTCAACTCCCTGCCCTGACCAAGGAATCATAGCCAAGTTATACTAACTTGATTACTAAACCAGTACTTGTTTTGCCTCTTACTGGCTAGTCATGAGTAACTTATTCTGAAGTTGAGAAGTCTACCTGATAAGAATTTTGAGTCCAATGAAGTTTTTTTAAAAAGGTGCTAGAAAACTTTTTTTTCTAAGGATCTATAATGTTAGCTCCTGTTGTCCATGGTCAAAACTCCACCTCACACTTGTTCTTGAAAACTTGACTGACAATAAAAGGCAAAATGCTGAAAAGCAAATGCTCAGGAGTTTAGGTAGCAGAATCATTACCAAAAAAACCCCTTATTGGAGTCAAGAGGGGTTTTCAGCTTAAAACTTCTTTTTCCAATTCTCTTCCAAAGTGCTTTTTATTTAAGACTGCATTATACCAGCTGCACCCCTCCACCTTTAGGTTAGAAGGGATACTCACTAGGAATGGTATAATTCTCTGGACTGTACAGCAATTCGGGCAATAATGACAGTCCTACTGCCATTTTTTTCTTGTCTGTTTCACAGTATAAAACAGCAGCCACAAATACATATCTTTAAGCCATATACTACAGCTGAGCTGCTGATCTTGACAAAAAGACCTCTTGTGATAGGGAAGACAGTGAACTGGATTTTGTTACAGCTACCAGTAGGAATCTGGAGTATCACCTAAACTTCAACAATTGGAGATGTAATGATCCAACCAGTAATTTAAAGTTATTACAGAAAACAAAAATGATGGTTATCTCCAGCCGTCTCTGATTCATAAGGTTAAAGGGGAGTTGAATGTTTTTCCTGGAGAGAGTGTCATCAATCCAAAATAATGCACTTTGTGCAGAAAAAACATTCAAATATTTAAATTTGGCTTTGTACTAAGGCACACATTAATTTCAAAACATTAAATGGAACTCCTTATTCCCAACTACTCCTACTTGGAAACTCTGTCTGCTGAGACTGCAGACTGGATAACAACTTCATTACTATACACCAGGACCTGTCTGGTATGTCCTCTCAGGGATCATACAGATAACCAGATTTTCAGGAATAAATTTCCATTGCTTATGCAGTTAACTGTAAAGAAAATAAATTACTCTTTTCTAGCTCCATCATGGTCTTCAGCACTAATTTAAGTCCAATGTGTTATTCACAGAAATAACAAGTTCAAAACTTTTCATTATGCTCAAAATTTCAGCCATTAGTTGGGCTTTTTCACAGTTCAAACTTTTGAATTTGTCATGATCACTGAAGTCTCACAGTTTAGAAAGGAAGTTAACTAAGGCAGTTGAGGTTTAATCTAAAAAACAACAGCCCTTGTGTTCCTCTTTGTTGAAGATACTATGAAATCCCAATTAAAATGTATGCTGCAATACAAGGAAATCCTAAATTAGTTTTTGGCTTTTTTAAATGCCTTGTTTAAGCAGAAAACGGCTACTTGACAAAGTATTCTTCAAAGGCAGACCATGACAGTTTAATTCTGTCACTGCAATACAGACACTTAGACTAAAGATTTGAGATTTCTCAATCATTTAACTCCTTCCTGAAAATAGCACACATCTACACTCACACCTGAATTCTGATTTAAATTTATGAACACAATAAATTTCAACATTAAAAAAAAAAATCCTAATTTACAAATGTATCAAAGAGAAACATCCCTCTCACAACTGATTTGCATTCAGGCAGTACCCAAGATTTACAAGGCAATTCACACAGAAGACAGAAAACTTTCACCATTATAACAAAAATGTTACCTGTGGGAGGGCACCATAATTCCATATATAACCCTTGTGAGGAAAGATATTTGCCACATATCGAAGCTTTCCTTTCTTTATATCTTGTTTAATGGGATTCAATGGCTCCTCAGTGGCAATCTAAGCAGATTGTGGAAAAAAAGGAGAGAGACACAGAAAGAGAGAGAAATAGAGAATGGTAAAATGGAAAGCAATTCATTCTGTACCCAACCAGTTAGAAAGATTCATCTGGGAGCATGTGCTTGTGGATTAAGAAGTATTAAAAATACGATGGCCTCACTCTAAATCTCAAGGGTCATGTTCAAAAAGCAACTTATTAAGGTTTTAAATAACATTGTGAAGTATGCAGTGAAAAGAAGAATCTAGAAGAGAAGGTCATAAATTTATAAGGAGACAGTCATAGTCAAACATAATACTGAACAGAACTTAAGTTAGGAGCTCTTGCACTTTATAGTACAAGTTCAACAGACATGCAAATGGTGGCCCAGGTTCTTCTAAGAAGAGGAGCTTTGACAGCAACAGGAGAAATATTTCATCTTTTTTCTCATCCTCTAATTGTTCTCCTATTGCATACAACACTTCTCTTCATCACCTCTCACCACAGAAATGCTTTTTAGCAACTACAAGTTCTGCATAGTTACCAAATGCCAATTTAATGCAGATTAGGAACAAGTTAAGCTAGCATTAGAAGAAGGCATTCCTATTCCTAAAGAAGCACTCACAGGACTCAACTAATTAAAGCTGAACAGTTTATTATTATCATCATTCTCCTCAAAACCTCAAATTCCAATCCACTGCCATATGAGTTACCTACCATACATCAGCTAATTCACTGTAATAATACTTTTGACACTCTACACCAAAATCCAATCCATGTTGGCTTGGTTCTTGCTTACAAAAACCCATCTGAATTGCTTATACTGGCTCAGGTGACACTTGGCTTGAGTGCAAAGTACATAGCCCTTAGTCCATGTTTTTTATTTGCAGGATTTGTCAGGATTTGCCTACCACACTATCCAGCAGAAATGAGAAGAATTTAATCCCTTGAGTGCAATGCTGTATGAGCAAGCAAGAGTTAACACTAAATGTTGGGAAAAGTTCTGCAAGCCAGTACTCCAGGATTCTGAAGCAGGTATGCTGCACTCTGTAGTCAGAGGGCTGTCAAGAAGCAGTGCTCACCTGAGGAAGGGAAACAAAATTAGAGCTTCAGCACTTCATAATTGCAAGGAAAGTGTCCATATGCACAACTTCGAAACAATTTTTTTAACGCAGAAAATTTTATGTGTAAGGAGTAAAACTCACACTCTGATTAAACTTTGACTATTAGAAGCTACGGCATTGTCATAACCTCCATAAATATCTAGATAATAATGGTATTTTTCTTAATTACCTCCATTTTTGCATTTGTCCAACGAGGCACTTCTACAACCATATTAAACAGGACCTAAAACAAAAAACAGTGACAGAACTGAAAAGAAAATTCACTCAGCAATCCATATTTTACAGGAAGATAAATTGTCTCCTCTGCATTCAGCAGCAACATACATTAGATCTCTCTGTTCCAGATACTTTTACATTAAGTACAATTCATTTACTTCTGCACAATAACATTCAACCTCCTAGGTTCATCCTTTACCCTTTGAGAATATAAGCAACTACAAGTAGCAGAAACCCACATGATATTTTTTATGCCATTATCAATATTACTCTTCACAAAATGTTCAGAAAGTCCATGGAATACTTTGCCACAAGGCAGAGGTTCAGTCTACTAGTCAAAGTGGACGTTTCTTCAGGACAGAGTTAGCTTCCCTCAGGCACTGGGAAGGACGTTTTGGTTTTTTCCCCTGAAAATTTATTTCTTCAGGCCCTCCTGTTTGCCTCGTTGTTTTTAAAATATATGCAAATGCAACAACCACTGACATTTCTGATTCTCAGCCAAATCTGGCTGAAGTGAGGCAAAATTAATCCAAAAGTGAAGGCAGAGGAAGGACAGGGACACAGACACCTCATGTTTGCAATAGCATTCTTCCTTATAGAAACTGAGTGAAACTTGTTTGAGGAAGGGGAAAGGAATATACCTAAACCATGTAAACTTTCATACTTTTAAAAGAAAAAAAGTAATCAATGCCCTTCTTCCTAAGGAGGTTAAAGTGACACTTTTCAAAGAGAAAAAAAATCTGTGTAAGTTTCTTCTTCTGAAGCTGTCAGAATTAAGCATGACCAATAAGCAAAGTATTAATTAAAATTAGTAACTACACCAAACCACTCAGCTATGTCTACAACCTGTTTTCTCCTACATTGCTAAAATACCCCAAAACATCACATTGCCTAGGACATCTCTTCATAGAGAAAGACAACTTGCTTTGGTATTAAAAATTGCAACCCTTCAGGAAGGACTAAATATGTTTTTTGCAGAAATGTGTATGAAAAATATATAAAGACTGAAGACTTGAACCTACTCTCTAACAACACTGCCAGGCTTCAGTGGCTTGAGCATGCTCTTTATATATTTGTGGTTTTGCTCCTTGTATCCAGTAGCTGCAACAAATACCATTAACACAGTAATTCCAATGATTCTATGATCTTCTCCCAAGCAAACCTGGAAAGTGGAAATCAAGAAAGCAAAGGAAATTCCCAACTATCACTCAGTGTTTCTCCTATGATATCACAAGCTATGTACCATCCTGACAGCAAATTCCCAGTAAACTGGAATTAAATTTGCCATCTCTAAGTACTGTACCCATATTGCAGTCAGTGGCACGTCAAATGGACTCTTCCCAATCAGATCATAAGCAAATAAAACAACATCTAAAAGGAGAAATGCTCTTCAGATCAGTTTCATAAAATACACCTTCTGTATATAAGAACGGTTGGAACAGGGGGGTAATCAGAAAGAGAGCTCACAGACATCAGCAGTAAGGAAGCAAAGAGAACAAAGCAACATATATGCAGCAGCAGGTAAGGGAAGGATTGGAAGAGAACCCATGAAGTCTGCACATCCATCAGGGAAACACTTGGAAAAAAAGAAATGCACAGCATGAAAGCCAGTGCTGACAAGAAAATCTTTGGAACTGCCAAGCAGACCAAGTAATTGTTCTGAATGGTAGCTACACAGCCCTGTGTTTTTGTTGTTTAGATGCAACCATATGTTTTCCTGTCCCTGTCTAATAGCTTCAGCAGCCTGTAAATCTTAGTTTTGAGCTTTAATTGGTCAGTAGTTATTCCAGGTCTTCACCAAAACAACTGTCAGGGCTGGACAACAGCTGGACTGAAATGAATACAACACTGCTCTCAAAAACAAAAAAATCACCTGGGTTTAACTCAGCTCTAAGACTAGGCCTTCATAATTTGTGGTATCCGTCAAATGTGACTTGTCAAGAGCCTGACAGATCAATTTGTATGCAAAAAAAAATTTTTTTTAAACCCTGAAAGTACACTCTCTAATGCTAAGCTGCCACAAGCATTTACAAGAGATTACTAACTTCATGCAGTGCTTACACTTAAAAACAAAACACCCCACATATTTATAGGGCAACCACATTTTCAGCAATGAGACTGGATTCACTGGTGTGGGAAGGAGACCACATACTAGATAGTTTGACAGAAAGAACAATAAGTATACTCCTCTGGTTTTTAGGGTTTTTTTTCCTCCTCTTTCCTATCTTGCTTCCCTCCTTGCCTAAATATCGCCCAGGAATTTTCCCATCACTCTTATTTTCCCAGATCAAGCACCTCTTCCTTCTAACCACTTGAATGTTCTCCCCATCCCTTGCTGCAAAACCATTCCTACCTCAGCTGCAATCAGCAACACAAGTGTCAGACACCTGTTTTCACAGATTGTGATCTGCATATGCCATTCAGTGGTTAGTTTTGGATGGTGAATGCACTTCATAATCATATTTTTTCCTTTAATCAGTTAAAAAAAAAATCCACCTCACCAAACACCCAAGTGAGCACTTCTCCCCTCAAGCAATGGTGAGGCTGTTTCAACAGCCTATTTAACACACCCTCCAGTGACAGAAGGAGAGATACGGTCTCTCATGAAACAAAAAACTATTGCTTTGAAATTTTACCATTTAACTGCCTTAGAATGACAGCAGCCAACTGGTCTGCCTATGAGATCGCTGCTTGGTGCGGTTCAGATTTAATCCAGCTCTGCAAACACTTAGTGTAGAAGAGACTCCACAACAGCAGACCATACAACAGGCCACATGGAGTAGTTCCTACTGGCTAGCCTCATGCCAACTCTGCTGGCTGACTGTTTTTTCAGGACAGTGTCCTGAAGTACACAAGAAGAGGAAACCACCTCCTAGATTCAGAAAAAGGGACAGAACCCATCTGCTAAGGAAAGTGACCTGACAGCCCAGAGGGACTTGCATGGTATTACATAGTTTGTTTGACTTGTGTTAATGTGAACACGAGAGATGCTTGTACTTACATTCTATCATATCTCTAAAAGGTGATGGGGGAAAAAACATCACATTTGCTCAACATAAAGTAGTTAAAAGTGCATTTCCTAATTCCTAAAACTGAATATGAAATCAGCAGAAAATGACGTCAGAACGAACAAACAGCATGTTCAAATTATATCCTTTATTTCCTAAGAACTACACCCGAAGTACATTACATGGGAACTTACATAAGATGTAAATAAGCATTTGCTTTATTGGGGTGTTTTCTTTGATACTGCTTGGCAACTTACTGCATTCCATTTCAGTTGAACATCGTTTTTAATATATCACTATATAATTTTTGCTGAGAGAAGTAAAAATGTCTCTCACACAAAGAACAGAAACAGGTTCTGGTTTTCTGAAATAAGCAAACCACAGAAAGATAAAAAGATATACAAATATACTTCAATTTATTCATACAGCAAGTGCTGAGAAAAGCTAGGAAAATATTCTGTTGTACCTGTGTAAACTGTGACTCAGCATTCTTTCCACTAAGACCCCAGGCCAAAAATAACTGCTAGCTCTGGCTGTAGAGATTCTTACAGAAGACAGCTCATTTTGATCAAGGTTTGCTATTATAAACCTGAACATCACAGGAAGAAAACAAATAAAAATTATGCACACTCCTGACACTATTTTTACACCCTGCCTTTCCGGACTCCCATACACTTTTCTCAGAAGCAGACCTTCCTTACCTAACTTCCCTGTTCTTGTTCAACTATTTCCTTTCCCAGTCCTCCCAAATTCTTCAGCTGGTGCATCTGAGGGGAGGGTTTTGAATAAGTATGATTTTACACAAGAATTGCAACTCTTAATGCTCAATTCTGAAGGTTCAGCTAATTTGAAGCAGAAGTGGAGCAAAATATAAAGAGTGAGGAAAGTGACAAAACATGAGAGGTAAGAGAGGAACAGAAACTCAATACAATTTCATAAAATGACAAACATTACTTTTTCACCACCACCTCACACAATGGGTAGAAGAGGTATATTTAAGCTTACAAGTTGTTAGTTGTTTTTATAGCAGAAAGCTCAAAAAACCCAACAACCTGAAAGCATTAGAGACAGTATTTGGGGACTGCTGACCTTTCCTCACTGAGAAGCTCTGAGCTCACAAGACAAAGAAAAGAAAAATTAGCTGTCATTTCAATTTCTTCTCTGTCTTCTCATTTCCAGTCTTTCAGGGATTCTCATTAGCCACCAACTGAACATGGTAGCATGCACCTGAGGACTAATGAAAACCAAAAAGATGAGGTGCAATCCAGCAGCAATGTGAACAAAGGATGATGTTTAAAAGTGGAGGTAGGGGAAAGGAAAAAAAGGAGAGGGAAAATAATTACTGTCATGAAATACACCCATAAATCAATGGAGAGGGGCTTGCTTATAAAATCACAGAATCACAAGATGTTTGGAGTTGGAAGGGACGTTGAAGATCATCGAGTTCTAACTCCCCTGCATGGGCAGAGACACCTCCCACTAAAGCAGGCTGCTCAGAGCCCCATCCAACCTGCCTTTGAACACCTCCAGGGATGGAGCCCCCACAGTATCTCTGGGCAGCCTGTTCCAGTGTCTCACCACCCTTACACTGAAGAATTTCCACCTGATCTCCAATTTGAATCTCTCTTATTTCAGTTTAAAACCGTTACCCCTTGTCCTCTCACTGCAAGCCCTGTAAAAAGTCCCTCCCCAGCTTTCCGGTAGGCCCCCTTCAGGTACATGAGTAGCCATGTTACAAGCACTCCCAGTGTAACACTTGCTACAAGATACTTGCCAATGAAAACAACAAATCAGATAAACCAGATGCCAACAACATCTGGAGACCAAATACACTGTATCTAAATGAGAAGTCAGTGGAACTTTTTCAATATAAACTATCATGCCACGTAGCAAAAAAGGAATGCAGTGCCCAGCATAAATGCAAAGGGCCTGCAGCCTATTCATAGTGTACTTCCCTCACGTGATAGTGAAAAGGGAACCAGAAACAGTATGTAAAATT